CCCCGCCCCGCCGGCGCCCGGCCCCGGCCCCGAGCTCCCGGGGGTCAGCGCAGCGGCCGCCGCTCCCTGCTTCCCCGGCGTGGCCGACTCACCTGCCGAAGGGGGCGGGGCGGGGTGAGGCCGGACCCGGAGGCTCTGCCTCCGCGCTCAACCCTTGGTTTAGATGTCCCCTGGGACCGGATCCTTGCTGAGCTCAGCTTCGGACGCAGCCCGCTCCTCTCCGGACCGGGCCGCATCATTCGACAGAAGGACGTCACGAGGGGCCGGGCTGTGTCTCCTGCGAGCTCGTTTGGGTTCGGCTGGCAGCGTCCCCCTGCGCGCCTCGGGGTCCTCTTGTTGCCGGCCTGTGGCCTCCTGTGCCTGTGGGTTTCTGTGGCCTGTGGGCTCCTGTGCCCGTGGGCTCCTGGGGCTGTGGGCTGCTGTGGCCTGTGGGCTCCTGTGGCTCACTCTGCAGGGTTCTGGGCCCAGGGTGGGGTGGGAACAAATCCAAAGACGTCCTGTGTGGGCAGGTGCAGGAGCCTCTGCGAGAGTAGACCCCCTAGGTCAGATCACATTGCAGCACAGGGATAGGCCTGCGGGAAGCAGGATGCAGTGTCTGGAAAGCAGACGTGAGCCCTAGTTCATCTTGTGTTTAGGAGGTCCCTCTGCAGAGCATGAGCGGGGCCAGAGGTGGAAAATGCAGGAGTACTGCATGTAGGAAGACCCCTTGGTCAGTCTCCAGGAGGTGAGCAGGCAGCCAAGGCCCCCAGGCTTTTGTCCACAATACTGGCACATTGTGGGTGTTCTGATGGCAAGCACTGGCTTGGGAACCAGCGGTTTGGGGGCAGAGGAGTTCAGGTGAACTGGGGCTGGACTAGGCACTCGTGTTCCTGTGTGAGTCCCGGAGTCGGGGCAGAAAGCTTGCTAGCTCTGGTTTGCAGCTGAGCGTGAAGTCAGGCTGTGGCAGTGGAGCAGGGGACATAGGCACAGAAACAGCAGGAATAGTGGTGGCCCTGAGACTGAGACGAGAGGACTGGGAGTTTGAGGCCAGCACAGCTGTGCCCTGTCTTCAGATTCCTCTGAACCTTCTTTCCTGGCTTCGAGGGAGGCCAGCCTGCTGCAGCTTTCCAGCAGTCTCCCACCCAGTCCTGGCCCTGTGGACCCGAGGGTGGGTGGGCACATGTGAACCTCCCAGCTTCTGACCCCATGCTCCCCCAGTCCCCGCAGCTGCTGCCATAAGGCCTGCCACTCCTCCCAGTCCCACTCTCCGGGGACTCCTGAGTACTTGGGGAGCATCAGAGGCCACCCTTCCCATCTGGGCCCGTATCTGAGACGTGCCTGGGACTCGTTTGGATCAGGGAGGACACCTGCCATAGAAGAGGCTTGGCACTCGCAGCTCCTGGGCAAGGACAGTGTCGAAGGCCCCTTGGGGAAGGACTAGGGTCAGGCAGGAGCAAGGGGCACTTCACTGGGTTTTCTGTGGTGTGGATTTGAGGTCTGGGGCTGCGAAGTCCAAGCAACATCAGTGGATGGCTGCAGCAGTGGTCCCGTGCCTGGCCTCTGGCCTGAGGGCTATTTGAGGGCAAGGAGAGACTCACTTGGCATTTGAGAGTCAGATAAGGCGGGAGTGGGAGTGTGGCCTTTGGATTGGTGGGTTCATGTGTGAAAGGGTATTTACAGGCACCAGTGGAGGGACCAGCTAGCCCTGGGAGGTGCAGTCTCTGCCTGGTCAGCCAGCCCCGAAATGTCAAGGTATCAGAGAACAAGAACCGGGGTCAGCAGGTGGCATGGTGGTTAAGGTGCTGGAATCCCACATGGGTGACTGTGGTTCAAGTCCCAGACCCTGGGAGCTTGAGAATCACGACAAATAGAGAAATTGATAATGTTTAAAAAAAAAAAAAAAAAGGAAGAAGGGGCCAGTCATGTGGGTGCTGGACTCCCACATGGCTGACTGCAGTTCAAGTCCCGGACCTGGCAACTTGTTTTCTCACTTTCTTCTCTCTCTCTCTCACTGTGTCCCTCTCTGGTCAAATTAAGTAAATAAATAAAGTTAAATAATTTTTTTTTAAAAAAAAGAAAGAAAGAAAGAAAGAAAGAAAATAAGAACCAGGGGCCAGAGAGTGACATAGTGGTTAAGGCACTGGACTCTCACATGACCCACTGCAGTTTGAGTCCCAGACCTGGTCGCTTAAAATTTATGCTGGAGGGCCAGCAGGTGGCGTGGTGCTGGACACTCCCACATGGCCAACCACAGTTTGAGTCCCAGACCTGGTGGCTCACTTTCTCGTTTTCCCTCTCTCTTTCTCTCTGTGTCTCTGGTCATTATTAAAATAAATGAATGAATAAATAAATAATTATTAAAAAAAAAACAAACTTACACTGGACACGTGCATATGTGCATGCCCAAAATCCCAGAAGTAGAATGGAGGAGAAGGGATTGCCCCTGGGGGGTGATTTCTCGCTTTCTCTCTGTGTGTGTCTGGTGAGTATGTGCACCCTATAGCAAAAAACTTTCAAGAAAAAAAAGAAAAACCAGAGGATGTACATCTCTCTCCTCTTGTAACTCCACTTCACATCTCCATCTGACCTCAGCAGGTACTTCTGTCACATGACAGCTTGCCTTCAGAGCTACCTGCCAGGGGCCAGTAGGAGGCATGGTGATTAAGGAACTGGACCCCAGTCTGCCTACTACAGTTTGAGCCCTGGACCTGGTGGCTTGCTTTCTCACTTTCTGTTTCTCTTTTTCTCTGTGTC